CTAAGCCCACGCTCCCCAAATCTTCTCAAACAAGTATAAGAATTTCTTGCTTCCACAGATAAGCCTAAGGACAAGGGAACAGTAACTTATTTGTGCAAATATATGTCCACACCTTGGAATTGAGGGTGGGGGGAGAGAAGGTAGCAGCAGGCTATATGGAACTTATTACAAGCCTCCTAAAATCTTACGCTCATACTACACCCACATATAATTACTGGACACTTCACAAACTAAGGATTTCCAACTTTTTAAAGGGTAACTTTGTAATTAGTTTGAAATACAAAACAGTTAATTTCATTATTATAAGAAGCTTCTGAAAGCCTTGATCATCTGCTAACCTATTCAAATGTCAATGAGATCCGATGAGCCTTCTCTACAGACTATAATTTCCCATGAAGGCAGAACACACTTGAAGAGGTACTTGTTCCAAGAGTCATGCTTATCACCAGCTACGATCATTTGCAAACACACTAACAGCATTCAAAAAGTTATGTCCCAATAACAGATATTCCTACTGAAATAGCAGATTTATTCAAGTGTCTGTATAGAGAACAGGCCCGGGACCGTGGTCCTATGTAAGAGCTATGTGGTGTATTGTGATCTCTATTTTTAAGTGCAGCCTAAGAAGCACAGCAATCCAGAAGCCACGTTATAAGAAAACCAGGAGCTTCCTACGGAATACAACTGTACACCCAGAACAGCGCTTCAGCACCTTCATGAGTGATTCTCAGAGCGACCCACAAAGCAGACGGGAAGACCAGCCCTAGCTGTGGATGAGGCGACCGAAGCTCCCAGGAGCCAGGACACTCCCCTGTCACGCTCCCCATGACACCACGCCCACAACACGAGCTGACAGACCTGCACATGGACACATTCGGCTGCCTGGAGACTTGGGGAATTCTGGATTTCAGGACAAGCTGAAAGCCTTGCGTTTGATGAAAAACCTGGTTAAATATGTTATACTGTGCCGTATTCTTTAAGTAGGGATTACGACTGAAACGTTTTCGATGCCTGAGTCATTATCACATTCGTCAACCACTTGACCTCTCGGCACATCTAGTGATGAACTGGGCCCCATACCAAGGGCACCGAGACGGCAGAGCGCTTAGAGTTATTTTACTCTATCTGTAAAAATCCTCGTCGTGCCTCACATGGGCCATCGCTTCTCACTGGTGAGGATGGACCAACCCCTTTCTGCATTTTAAATTTGCTTCATCAAATCTACTTTATGTAATTTCTCTCTAAATCTTACAGTTCTGCAAGGCAGATATTAGCGTCCCTGTTTTACAGATGAAGAAAAGACTCAAAGAGCTGACTGAGGTTCGCACGGCTGTTAAGCGGCGCCGTGTGCGCGCGAACCCAGGTCAGCAAACCAGCTCCTCCCTGACACCAAATCCTCTTCCACTGAGCAACATGCGCCAGGGGGTGCGGCACTCCGCGAGTGCAATGCGGTTTCCGTCTCTAAGGTGCTCCAGAGACGGTTTCCATCTTTTTTATAAAATCATTGTTCACATAGCATGTTTGAAATTTCCACGCTGAGATGACAGAATAAAAATAAGATATAACTAGAATAATTTTTCCAGGTATCCAGACTCTGAGCTATTCTGAAGCATTAAACACAGAAATCAAATTAAAGGACCGTGTTTAAATCTCCTGTTACAAACATGGATATTAAAGACTTTAAAAGGGGCAACAGCGCCACCTATGTCCAAAAAAGAATTTCCAAGTTGCTGGAAAAGATGGAACCAAACAATTGTCTGCGTAATAAGAAATGACCGGTAAGGTTTTTAAAATCTGGATGCCCAGAGACCATAACTAAGAGCTTAGCTAGCACAAACTGAATTGTTTCGCGGAACGGCGTGCCACTCAGTACTGAATCTGAAATCTCTGACACTCCTGGATATAAAAGAAAGACACAGGTTCGTGGGGACTAATCTTAAAACAGGAAGGAATCCTGGGCGACCAGGCCAGCCTTTTTGTTTTACAGACTGGGGAGACTGTCCTTCCAGCAGCCAGTAGCAAAGTTTACCCCTAGCCCTTGTACCTTGCACCAAACCTAAACCAACAGCTCTATACTAACCCTGTCCTTAAGGGTCACGTCTGTATCTTACCAACAGTAGGTAGTCTATGCTTCCCAAAGGGCTGGTGCCTATAATCATACAACTCTGTTGAAATACAAAAATGCTTATTTATATATTAAAAAGGAAAAGGGGTAGGTGTCAAATCAACATTGTGATTTTTTTAACCTATTAAGGATACAGAAAAAAATCAAAACGATCTTCAGCCATAAAGGAGATAAGCTTATGCCCCGAAAATACCTCCATACCGAGATTTCTAAACTTAACGGCTATGGTCTCATTCCCAGTTATCAAGGGTTTCAATGGATGATCACTTAGCCATATGAATTCTGAGTTATAAAAATATATCCCTATACAAGTAATCTTTAAGCTCTTCAGCTTAAGCAAGTTAGCTATTCCCCATCCTACTAGAATGACACTGATTTCATTATAACTTTATTCTGTACTAAAAAAAAATCTAACTGAATCCTGACCACTTTAAATCATGATAATATGTGTCACATATATATTGAATATGCATCGGAAATAAACGAGGCTGACTGTAATCTAACTCACAACCGAATTCAAGTTTTTCCTGAGCACCTCTCAGGTGCTTCGTATGCATGGTATCTAACCTCACGATCACACAAGGTAAATAACATCATTCTAATTTCACAAATGACGAAATATACTTAGGCCATAAAAAACAAAGCAGACAAGCCCCAAGGTCCCATAAAACTTACATATTCATCGTTGGGAAAGAAAAGAGTACAGATTTTTACTTTCTCTCAACATTCACTGACTTAAATCTTTTCTTCCATAATAAAGACATTTCTCTCCTGCAGACAAAGCAGTTTTTCCCTCAACAAGCATCAAAACCAAAAACAAAAAAACAAGCAATAAGTCATTAGCAATGGTTGGATTTTCAAAAACCCACTTCTCTTTTGCACTGTAATAATTTTCCATATTTTGTTTTTAGTGCTTAAAGAGTTAAAATTAAAAATATTGACTTTTAGGTCATGAGCTGAGAATAAACCATTTATAAAAGTAAATGTACAATTTTGATCTATGCCACCCTGTCTCATATTCTCACTGATACCTCTCCTTTTAAGGCTTCATCAGGCTGAGACCACTAAAATCTGTCATTTATAAACTCACAGATATCCAGGCCACCAGTCAATGGGAGGCTGATCGGAGGAGCAATAAAGAAGGCCTACTATGCAGTCAAACCAACCTTAAGTTCAAGTCCCACGTCTGCCACTCACCCGCTGCATGATTTGGAGCATGTTCCCTCATCTCTAAACCTTAATCTGTCACCTGCAAAGAGGGGACACTGACACCTGCCCTCGGTGCCTGCTGTGAAGTAAACCATGCAGAAAGCATTTAGCACAGCCACTGGCCTCTGGTGGGTACTGAATAAGTCATAGCTATTTTGATAATTATGATAATGATGGTTACTGTTAATTAAAAAAACCATAAAGGAGAAATATTTACTGGTCAATAAGCATTTCCTTTAGGATTGATTGCAGAATGTCCTACTGATTTTTTTTTTAATAAACCAAATTTTATCAATTAATTATAGACTTGCAGGTCCATATACAAGTCTCCAGAAAAAAGAATTAGTGGACTCTAACCTCTGAATACTAGGAAAATAAAGTCTTTTAAAAAATTAAAACAAAAAGAATTAAAGCAAAAAGAGGTAGGGACTACTTCTTTTGAAATTAAGATAACTCAAATTTAAGAGGGAAAAAATTCCCTTTCTCAGAGGAATTCTTCTTGAAAACAATGACACCTGGATCTCAGATGCCGAGAATCTTTTAACATTATTCATGAATTCATATTATCAACTCTCACGATGACTTGATAATCAATAATAATAATGATAGCTGCTAACATTTACCAAGCCCCGGATATTTATATACGTATCTCATTAACCTTCACACGAACCCTACGGGTAAGTATAATTATTATCTTACCCATTTTACAGATAAGGAAACTGAGGCGCACAGAGATTGAACAACTTGCTCCAGGCCACACTGATATTAAGTGACATCTTTATTTCTGCAGCTTTGCTGTTGGAGAAGGGAACCGAGATATAAACTCAGGGGGAATGTCCAATCGTCAGTCTGTCTGGTCCTCACCTTAGACAGGAGACGCCATAAGTTTCTGATGGGAGCCGAGGCGGCCGCTACAAGCTGACTAAGCTTGAAATTAACATCCCAGATCGAGCAACACGTCTGTCCCCGGTATCGAGCCTGTGAATGGATGTGAATGGACCTGGACCGTTCACGCAGTGAACACACGTTAACTACCGCGCCTTTCTCTTGGAGGGGAAATGTCTAAAAGTCTCGCGGAACGAAACATCTGGCAGCTCTGTGTCCGGCCTCAGTCACTGCATTCTTTGTTACTGCCTTTGTGATCCACGCAACATGACAACTATATCCTGAACCATGAAAGGCAAGTTCATTCATTAAGGTCTAAGGCTCACGTTCATCAACAAGCACATGTGGGCCTTCTCCTCCAAAGATGTTTTAGGCTTCACTGATGCCAACACAACATAAGCAAATCAGACTTAACTCATTAAGAAAACTTCATCACACAGGATATTAAGAAACAGGCCCCAGGCCCTGAATGAGTCGTTAGAACTGAGACTAGCTTGACCCAACATACAGAAATCATGAAAAAGACCCAGACCCAGAATTTCAAGGTTGGTCAACCATGAAATTTCATGCAAATGTTCCAATCAATCATGGTAACCCATTAATATTATCCAATAAGATTCAATAAGATAAACAGTCAATAAGTCAAAAGAAAACATCTCACGTGCAAGGTTCCTAAGCCAACAGATTTTCTAGTTCATTTAGACACTGGCCGGGCTTAGCCCAGAGGGAGACGTGATAAACGGCTCTTGCTTGCTTAAGGGCGTGACTGAGCCCAGGCCAGGGGACGTGCAGGCTCACCTGGCCGGTGTCGGTTGGCGGCGTCGGCAGGGGAGCTCCCCAGGAACCTCCGAGCTCCAGTCTGACCACCGGTTCCGCCCGGATAGTGATAGATGACGGAAGCTGAACACAACCCTTCAAGGGCAGCTGGGCATTAAAAAAAAAAAAAAATACGGACAATTAGTCAAGTTAGTGGCCCATCACTAGTCAGACTGCAGTGCCTAAGAATGATTTGAACGCTTTATGTGGAAATGCCAATTTCTTCCCCAAAGAAAGATCAAACCTACAGATTGCTGGTTTCGTTACAAACGGGCACATGCCACCTGTCATCTTTCATGTGTCCGTGTCAAGGCTGGCACAGAAAACTCTCACGGCACTCAAGGTTTCATGGAGGGGCTGCATCCCACGTGGAAGAGGCCAGGCCCCCTCAGCCATGCATTCATTCACTCGACCAATAGTTCAGCGCATACTCCGTGTGTGGCAGGCTCTGTGTCAGATTCTGACGCTACAGAGACGTGTGGCAGAAAGTGCCCTGGATCGAAAATATCTAAGAGTAATACCACCAGAGCAAGACCAGAACACCTTTCCACGTCAGACAGCCCAGATGCATCTCCTCCATCTGGAGCAAACACTTATGGGCCTGTCTCCTTTTCAAAGGCAGCCACATTTACGTGGAGTACATTTCGTTCTTCTATCAGTGGCCATTATAACCTAAGAATCTCAAGCAAGGCCATGGTCCTTATAAGGTGTGCAATAGTGTTCACCTTTATTCATTAGTTCTCAAACTTTTTGGTCTTAGAACCCTCCGACACTCCGAAAAAACACTGAAGATCACAAACAGGTTTTTTTCCCTGCGGGTTTCATCTAGAGATATTTACTATATTCGAAAATAAAACTAGAAAACAATTTCCTTTTAAAACAGTGAGAAGCTCATTACATGTTAAATTTTTATGAAAAGTAACTATGCTCCAAAACAAAAATAATATGCTGGGGGAGTGCCATTAGTTTACATTTTGACAAACTTCTTTAATGTCTGAGCTAGAGTCTCATATCTGCTTCCTCACTCAACCCGTCGCGATGTCACGCATCAAATGGCCTCTGGGAAATTCCACTGTTCGTTTACGTGAGACTGAAGGCGAGAGACGCAGCAGCCCATGGCACAGTCCGTCTCCGCGCAGCCTGTCACTCAGGACGTGGGTGGGGACTGTCGCTCTGCAAAAGCACCTGACACAGGGGCTCGCCGGGGTAGGGATCCATCCCACCGACCACTGACAAGTATTTACTTCTCCTGCAGGAAGTAAACCTCACATTCCGTCCTTCTCATCCTCCTTTATCCTTTATCTGTTTCTCTTTTCCATCTATTCCTAGTTCCACTTTCTCTTTCCCACGTTTATTTCCCTATGCTCCTTAAGAAGCTAAATATGACACTGAACTCCATTTTAACTATTTCTTTTATTTAATATATTCTATAGCAGGGGTCCCCAACCCCCGGACCACAGACCGGTACTAGTCCCTGGCCTATAAGGAACCAGGCCGCAGAGCAGCAAGTGAGCGGTGGTCGAGCGAGCGAAGCTTCACCTGTGTCCGCAGCCACTCCCAGCGCCGGCATCACCGCCTCAGCCCCACCTCAGATCCTCAGGCATCAGATTCTCAGAGGAGCACCGGTCCCTGGTGCCACAAAGGTAGGGGACCGCTGTCCTACAGCATGTCGTTAAACTTCTAGCAAAGGACTGACTTCATTACTCCATCTGACTTGTATTTATCATAAGTGGCTGACAGATCGGTGCCCCCTGACTATACTGTCAGCTTCTTCCAGTCCTTACACATTTATTTCACGCACATTATGGAACATACAGACAGTTGCCATAATTACATATCTGATCATCTTCATCGGAGAGCCTTACCTCCAAGCCACAAAAAGTCATTCACCGAGCGGAGAAGCTCCACGGCCACATGGTAATGCACCAGGGCATCCTGCAGCATGCCCGCCTGAAGGCACAGGTCCCCCACGTGCTTCCGCGTGCGCCCCTGGCACCGCTTCTTGTAATGTCTGAAAAATAAAATGCACGGCCACGTTGTCACTGCTAATGCACAACTTCTGCCCCCAAAAGCGCACTGGCTAAGCACTGGGCAGCTCCCTCTCTGAACGCTAAGAAGGCGGCCCGAGGCTCTACAACTCAAGCCAGCAGCCGTCATCGCCAGTGTGTGAGCTGGATGGTCCCGCCTTCAGGACCACTGCCAGCCCCGTGTTAGACGTAACGGGGGGCGATGGCCGCCACCACACTCCACTGACTCAGCATGAGCACGATCCTTCTTTCCACATCTTCGAATCACAACATTATAGCATGAGAAAGTTTGTTTCAGCTTTTTAAAAACTCGATCATCTTCCACTTTCTTAACTTCAAACCTATTATTATTTTATGAAGAGAGCTATGCTGCAAATTATGAACCAAGCATTTGGCTTTTGTAAACAAGCCTTTTATCTTCAGAATTTCAGAGCAAGCTTTAGCAATGCTTTGCGAGGCTGGGGCCGGGCCCTCACTAACAGCTCCTTAGATACTGGCAAGGAGCGCTATTAAATAATGCAAAGGCTTCTAACTCCGTATCAACTCAGAAACCGAACTATATCAAAATCTTCCTTTATTGTTTTAAAATAGTCCTATTCTTTTGACTATTAAATTTCTTAGGAGATACGATACATCTGCTGTAGCAAGATGTGGCCGAGTTTTCAAAAATAAAAGTGCCACCTAACGACTATGCAAGCACCTTACTCCGATATCAACAGAACGTGCTACGTGGGGACTTATCTTCACCTGATGAAAAATAATGGGAAAGGGTAACAAACTGCACGCAACTGCGGGAACAGCTCCCCGGACTCTGAGAAAGGGGCTCGCCCCGCCCCACGCGGAAACGCCCTTGCAAAGCCTCTCCCTCCGGGCCTGGGCAGTGCGTGGCTCATGTCCTTGCTGTGCCCTCCCGCCAGAACCAGGAAACCGCATTTTCCTCCTCCACTAATGTGGCCGTCGACGTTGGCCACGTGGCTAAGTCTGCGAGCCCTGCTGTTTTCCCGACTCGGTGGGTTTTGAATTAGACTCTGTTGTAACAGACTTTACTCCTAACCTGTTAGACTACGGGTGCTTTAAAGCATCCTGTCTGAACTCTTCAAAACAGGTATATTGTTCCATCCTCGCAGGAACTTAACAGAGGTGTACATCTGCTGTAGCGAAATGTGGCTCTGAGTTTTCAAAAATAAAAGTGCAATCATTGTGATCAGAACCCATTTGTTCTGAAAACACGGGATTTTTACAAAAAGAAGCCATCTCAATACACTCACATGTTTTCATATTAAGGTCCTATGATTCAACAGAACAATATAAAATATTAAATTATGTAAAAATAGAATGACTCCGAATACTTTGGGGGAAATTGACAAAATATTACACAACAAAAGTCTATCATAGATTTATATGAAGTAAAAGGACTTAACTCTCGGCGCGCCATACGCCCCGAGACTAGGTCATCCTGAGGTCATGGGCGTGTGTGAACATGAATATTCAGGTAGAGCGGGCGGCTGCCTGGTGCCTGACATGGTCATGCTAGTTCCCCTCCCCTGTCCCCTTTTTAGCCGTGAACTACTCCCGCTGGTATGAAGCCCCTGTGACACAGACTGTTTTATTCATCTTTGAATCCACCAACCTAGTGCCTTATGCCTAGAAGGATCCCGAAAGGACCATTTCCTCACAGTAACTATCAGTGTTCTCAAGAGGTTTGTCTGGAATTTTTTTAAAGTCTATTTTTGGGGAGAAAGACTCTTCTAGAAGTATCCAACAATCCTTCCCCCTGCCAGCTCCTCCTCACAATTTCCCATCTCCTCGGACCCCCATCTGCTCCGTGGGAAAGACAGCCACCCTTCTCTGGCCTGTCCCCTCCTCAAGGATGAGTGCGACCCGGTCTCCTCCCCACTCTCCCCTACTCCTGAGTCACCAACCTGGCCTGTCAGTCCCTCCGGATTCCCCGCCCCCAGCACCTGTAGGATACATGGCAGACGCTTCTCAAATCCCAAACTCCTTGAAATAACAGACACACCTCCGCGAGCCGGGCTTCCCGCCAACGCCGTGGTCACAGCCGCAGGCCTCCCTCCCACCTCGCTCCCATCTCTCTGGTAGAGTGCGTCCATGTCCACGATTCAGACACGGGGCGACCACGGCCATCTCCCAATACAGAGCTCTGCTCCAACTCCCTCACTGTGCTCCAGGCTCACCGATCCAACTGCCTCTTTGAAATGTCCCTTGAACGCTGAATAGGCATCTGATAAAACACACATCCAGCAGGTACTCCGCCATGCGACCCCCAGCAGGAACCTGCCAGTCGTCCTCATTTCGTGCCAGGCCCACACGCCCTCTGGACTTCCTTTTCCTCAGCCCACCCCACAGCGTGGTCAGTGGCAAGTCCTGTCGTCTGCCTCTGAGTGTACCTCAGCTTTGCTCCAGGACAAGGCCCGCTCACAGTAAGTGTGTGCTGAGTCACAGGCCACCGAAGAGGGAGGGCTGTCCTGCACCGGCCAAAGGCGAGCTCACATCTGGGTCTGCACACGCTGTTCAATTACAGAGGTCCCCGTCCGCGAGAGCCAAATGCACTGGCTGTGTACGAGAAGGCCGTATTTTCCGGACACGTAGAAAAGGCGCCCTCATAAAGGGGGCACGGGATTGGTGTCGATGTTAAGAGTAGCCCCTGCCCCTTTGGGAAGGAAAGTCACTGAGGTGAAGTAAGGCCCATGGCATGCTTGAGGTGAAAGCAAAAGAAAGTCTGGTAGCTGTGTCCTCTCACAGCGTCCCTCCGCGGCCAGCACGCCCTGTACTGGGCACCCCTACGCCGGTGACTGCCAGTCAAGAAGCACCAGCATGCCCATCACCCAGCGGCAGCCAAGAATCACGTGCCTATCGCGCTTATCTAAAAGCCAGAATCAAGCAAGCACTAGTCTTTGACTTTCCGAGTCAAAACAGCCCATAAAATGTCTCTCTGCAGCCGCCTAAATCGATTGGCATCTCATTTCATCAAAACCAACAAAAAAGTTAATAAGGGCTCAATGGTCACAAATACTGAGTAAGACCAAACAAATTCCCCAAAGCAAGTGTTTTGACAGATATCAAACATCAGTGGGTTACGTGCCAATAAAGCTAAAATTCAAAAAAAAAAAAAAAAATTAGAAAATAAGAGAATGACCAGGAGAACACATGGATGGAGGCAGCGGTCAGTTCTGCTTTCAAGCAGTGAAGGCAACGAGAAGGCAGCGCAGAGGGAGAGGTGGCCATCTGCAATGCACTGTGCGCACGGCCTGCCTTTCGGGCCCAACCACGTACTCACAGCGTGGTATGACAGAAAAAAGGGAAAAGGAAAGAGAGAACAAGTAAAAATTAGAAACACACGACAACAAAAATAACTTTGACGCTACCACACTCCGTGTACGAGGATTTCCCACGGGCTCTGACGAGACTGGGGACGCGGGTAACGTTAGAGCAAGACCCACGGGCATCTGGTGCTCCTGCGAAGCCCCACCCGCAGTGGGCGCCTACCAGGGAGGTCCGAGCCTCAAACCGAAACCCGACATGCATCTGGACAGTTCCCTTTGCACTGCGAAACCCATCTGGCTTCAGGCTGGACACTCTTTAGCACTCCCTCCAAGAGCTGCAGGTACGAGCTGGGCTCTGCACCTGCCCCAAATCACAATGATGGCTGAGTGTTCCCCGTGCTGTTAGAATTGAACAGGAGGCTGGCAGGGAGGGGCGGGGGGGCGGTGTCTAACACGTTGCTGGGTTCCCAAAGCCCACAGCCGGGCCTGACACTCCATAAACACTTGTGTATATTATCAGCCACTACACGCCAGGCACACAGGCCTAAACAGTCTCCTTATTCCCACCGAATGGCAAGCATAGGTTCCAAAAGGCAAAATCAAGCGGACCTTCTCTGGTGGGCCTGTGGCCGCAAAGCCGAAGAGTCGATGAGCAAAATAACGTCACCAGTGCTTCGTGGAGCAGAGGAGGAGGCACTGGTCCAGGGGTCAGAGCAGCGCTACCTGCCCAGGCTTCCGGCGTCGCCCCCAGCCTGTGCCATGGGGAGAAGCCAGCCCGCACGCCCACCCCAGGGAGTGCAGGGAGCTGGGTGCGCTGGGCAGCCCCGCTCGGTGGCAGCCGGGGGGCTCAGCAGCTCTGCCCTCAGCAGTCGCCCGGCCTCCTAACCCTCACCCACTCAGCAGCAAGGAGCGAAAGGGGAGCACTAACATGGGACCACGGGGCCACCGCGAGGATTCTGTGCAGGTCGTGGCTATGACATGCCTTGTCCTTCCCTCAGGCCACGTAAACATGTCCGGCGAGGAAATGGAAATCACTCCAGACCCTGCAAGGCACCACACGCACGTGTAACTCGGCCTACTCTGCTTCTCACTCACAGGTCTGGCCGGGGTCAATTTTTTCTCAAGTCTGACATTTTCTCCACCAACGAACCAACAACCAGAGCAAGGCAGTGTTTGCCTTTATGTCAATTCAAGAAACACACCGAGCACCGACTCTGCGGTGAGCGCTCAGCCGCATGCGCGTTATGTCATTAATCGTCACCTGCAGGACCATCATCAGAAGTCTACAGAGGAGGGAGGAGAGACAGAGGACACAAGGCATGAAGCCGGAGTGACACAGCCATCCGGGGTCCACCTCTTGGCAAACGGTCGCAGCCTACGCTTGCATCTCGTCCTCTGCTGCTGGACAGATGCCACTGTGGCAACACGGAGACAGAGCAGAGGGCAAAGGGGAAGGAAACGGCCCAGCGAGCGACGCTGCACCTCTGGTGCACAGTCACGCTGAGGGCCGGAGGCCGGGAAAGTGCCTTTCCCTGCTCTGCCCTCACGCCTGTTCCACAGAGACCATGACCACGCTCTCGCCTGTGTAAGGGGCTCTCTGGAAAGTCCCTAATGGCCTTTCTGACATCCTGACACTCATCTTGGCTGACTACAAGCCAGGACTCTGACTCTGTGGGTCCCAGAAAGGAAGACGGGGTCTGACCTGTGCACAGTGCCCGGCCTGCGAGGCAGGGGACACGGGCTCCGCTCCCCGCTCAGCTGGCACCTAGTTCTGTTGCCAGTCCAGATTCGGCCCCTCGTCCATAAACCCGAGGCAAAAGACCAAACACAAGTTTCAAGCTGCTCTAGGGCAGTGCTGTCCAATAGGAATAAAACGTGAGCCACCTAAGTAAATTTAAGTTTTCTTAGTTGCCACGTTTAAAAAAGTAAAAAACAAGCACTTGAAACTAATTTTAATAACACATTTTATTTAACGTAATAGATGTAAAATATCATTTCAACAGGTAATCAATATAAAAAATATTAACGAGATATTTCGCATTCTTTTTGCTGTGCTAAATCTCTGAACCCGACGTGCCTTTTGCTCAGAGCACATCTCTGCTCAGACTGGTGGCCTCCTCTCTGGGGCACAAGAGCCCCAAGTGGCTGTGGCTACCATACTGGACAGCAGCTCCAGGGGTCCCACTGGGGGTCCCGGCTGAAAACGGGGAGGAAATGCACACACTCGCCCTTCAGGAAGTCCCCTTGAATAAAGGCTGTCCTGTTTTTAAAAGTCTGAAAACCAAAAGACCACACCTTTCTACCCCTTCGCTGTGGTCAAGCGCCACCTGACTCCCACCGGTCCCCTGTAGGGAACACCCCGAGCACGAAGCCAAGGAACCCAGGCCTCCGGGTAAACTTACCTGCTGTCCGTGTCCAGCCCCACGAAGTCCTTTTTCTCAAATGGGACACAGAGCAGGGGGATCTTATCCCCGGACTTGTCTGTGGCCCTGTCGAGACGCTTGGACTCGAGCACAATGAAGAGCGACTCGATGAAGTCCTCGACCCTCTTCTCCACGGCCTGGCAGTCGTCATAGCTGGGGTAGAAGGCCACGTCAGTGCGCGGCTGATCGGCGACGCCCCCCTGCAGCCCGAAGACGAAGAGCCGGGAGTCGTAGAGCGTGGAGCCGTAGAGCTCCTTCTGCACGTGGAACTTCTCCAGGGTCTGCGGCCAGTCCCTGGCCGAGCTGCAGTCCGTGATGGTGACGAGGCCCACGACTTTGCGGTGGGTCTGGAAGTCGCCCCACTCGTTGTTCTCCGGTGGGTAGTGGTGCCGGTAGCGGATGCAGAGCACCCGCTGCGAGTCGCGCACGCTGATCTGGCTCACGGAGGAAATTCGCTTGTAGATCCGGAAGAAGTTGTCTTCCGAGACGATGCCCACGGGCTGGACCACCACGAGGAGCGTCTGGTGGTCCTCGGCACACTGCATGTAGTCGGGGACGCTCATTGTGAAGTCCCTGCCCAAAGAGACAAAGGGGGACTTTGAGGTGCACGCGGTAGCGAAGGGGGCTCTGCCTGGGCCCCCGGAAGGCAGCATGTGGCCCACGCGAAGCTGCGGAGGACAGACTGTCCCCAGAGTGTGCACGTGGCGCCAGAGCCCTTACCGCCGGGCCACCGCCACTCTAGGACTGGGCCTGAGTGCCCAGAAAAAGGGGCTCGTACTTTCTGCTTCCAACGCCTAGCCAGGTACTGGCGCAGAGTCAGTGCTCAAAGGTCTGCTGAGTGAATGAAGGAACAAATGAATGAATGGCTGCCCCATCCCCTCCGCAGAATATAATGAAAAGAAGCACAGGGGAATCTGCCTGAGCGCCAGAGCTGCAGAATAATGGGAATAAGAAAACCAGCCTTCTAAGAATCCGTCAGGAGTAAGGAAGGTTGCAGACGCGAAACACCCAGCACACTGCCTGACAGAACAGCAGGGGTCGAACACAGCACAGTCCCTCCTTCGGAGACAGTGGTTCCCAGGGAGAGCTTTGTGACCTCTGTGAGTCAATATGGTCCGAAATAAAAAGAAAACAGCATTACCCGAATCTCGGTACCGCTGAAGAATTAAATTAGATACCCCAACACAAGGATCTGGACCATGGGAGCTACTCGATCAGTGTTTGTTGAATGAATAAATGACCAAATGAATTGACTACTGCCCCCTTCCACAGACCATCAAAGTGGAGATGGCACCGCCTGTAAATCCGAACACCACATCTGACTCCAGCCTAACCGTGTGGGTGACCCGGGCCAGGCCTGCGAGCTTCGCTAAAGCCCAGTTTAATCGTGAATAAAAATGACGACGATGACATAAACTGCCTAGGGTCAGCGCATCGGTCCCCTGGTTTTGACATCATGCCACAGTTGTGCAAAATGGCACCATTAGTGAACACTGGCACAGGGTCCACAGGCTCTCTCAATATTATTTCTTACGACTCCATGGAACTCCATATCGTAACTCCAAATAAAGAGTCTAATTTTTTTTAAAGGCTATTGAGATTAAATGAGCTCCCTATATGAAATAAGGAAGACGCCACATAAACAGGAAAACACCTAACCCATAAGCTATACTCAATAAATACTTCCAAATAAATAAGTAAATAAATAAATAAATAATACTTCCGCTGAAACCCTCAGTGTGCTCCGACTCCAGACAGGGGCCGTGGTTCTCGGGGCCAGAAGCAGCTGTACTGTGAAGCTAACAGAGCTCACCTAGGCTTCAGATCCGCACTTGCAAGATGCCCCGCCCTGATCCGTGGCCCTCTATCTAATTTGTATTCGTAATTTTTTGTTCTTTTTCTTAAACAGGGGCTCCAAATTCCATAGCCTTCAGGTCACTAAAACCTGGCTGCAGAGATCATGGCAGTAGCCTTCAGGTCACCAAAACCTGGCCACAGAGATCATGGCAGTAGCCCTCTCAGGTGAAACAATAAAATTAAAAGGCCATTTCCACAAGACACTATAACACTCACGGCGGGACTTTCACCCTGGAATGAGAGGAAGATGCTGAGGGGAGGGATGGGCAGTTTGGGGCCACCCATGACGGACTTCAGATTTCAACCCTCACCTTCCACAAGCTTCAAAACACACATAGATAAAATGGTATACAGAAATTGAGAATCTGGAATCTCAATGGAAATTCCAACATGTGCCACGGTTTCTCCCAGTTCAAGAGCAGTGGGCTCTCTGTGCCAGGCAATAACTACACCAGCCACGGGGCTCTCCAAATACAGACTTTTATTCACGTGTGGACAAATCACACACGGGCCCGCCAGAGAGAAAAGACACCCAAGGAAAAGGCCAAAGTAATGAGATTTAAAGTGGCCAATCAGCACACATCATTAGCAAAAAGGATGCTGCTACCTCGTGAGCATAGGGTGGCCGAGAACTCTACTTGCAAGCACCAAATCCACTGAGTTGGCTCTATCCCTGGCTGTCACTCTTTGTGACCACAAGTGAGTCACTAGCTTCACTGAGGTTTAGTTTTTTCTTTTATAAAAGGCTACAGTGAAGCTAATGATGTATAAAATCTCATCATTCACATACCTGACATTTAATTAGCATTTCCCATGTGCCAGGTTCTGTACAGATATATTGATGGGCAGAAGCAACTAATATCACAAAGATGCCGATTCTCTCCAATTTGATAAATGGATTCAATGCGACTCTGATTAGAATTCCTACTAGATTTTTCAGGGACTGCAACGTGTTAATTTGTGGTCAAGAACAGCCAAGAAACCCTCAAAGAACCACCACTGGGGAGAGGCATTTGTCCACCAGATAGCAAGACCAGATATAACGGCTAATGGGGCACAGGGTTTCTTTTGGGGGTGATAAAGTGTTCTAAAATTGACGGTGGTGATGGCTGTGCAGCTCTGCGAATGCACTAAACACCACTCAATTTATTTTAATAAAGTGGGTGGGAGGATAAAAAGCTACAGTCGGCAAGGTATCGATATGGGGATAAAGAGAAAAGTGGAATGTAATCGAGCCCAGAACCAGACGCACACACGCACGCGGTAATGTGAAATATGGCAGACGTGCCATTGCGGGGCGGGACGATGTGTGATCCATGAGTGAGGAAAAGACACACCGCCCGGTGAGAACACAGGCGACACGCTCGTACAGACATCTGTGAAGAGGAAACTCAGGCAGCCAAGACACGTACAGAAAGATGCCCCACCTCACGGGCGATCAGGAGCCAGCAAATCAAAACCACAGGGCAGACTATTTCGTACCTGTGAGACTGACCAAATTTTTTCATTGCGGTAGAAGAAACATTACGTAAACGTCAGCACTGTCAAGTGCACAGTTCTCAGCACCGCGCACCTCCGCACTGCTGTGCAAGCACCTCCGGAACTTCTCCATGTTCCGCAGCTGAAACTCTGTCCCCACCCTGTCCCCACAACACACGAACTCCCCCTCCCCCAGCCATAGCAACTACCCTTCTACTTTCTGTCTGTGACTCTGACTGCTCTAGGGACCTCACATCAGTGGAATCAGACACTATTTGTCTTTGGTGACTGGCTTATCTCACTTAGCATAATGTCTCCAAGGCTCAGGCGCACTGTCGCATCTATCAGAATCCCCTTTTTCTGTAATGCTGAATGACAGTCCAGTGCATGTACTTACCACATCTTATTTATTTATTCAATCGTCAAGGATCATTTGGGTTGTTTCTAGCTTTGGGCTACTGGAAATAATGATACTACGAACATAGGTGTACAGACAAAACATTTTAGTATGAAAAACACCAAGTGTTTGCAAAAACGTATGTCAAGCTAACTCATATGCGACAGGTGCACGTGTAGACTACGACGGGCTAGGCCTGGCAATTTCTCTCCTAACAGAAGTCTGGCATGGGGGTGGCAGGACATATAAACAAGGGTTCACAGAAGCAAGAAGCAGAAACAACACAAACGTCCGCAGTCAGGAGAATGGATAAGTAGACAGTGGTCTCGTAACACAATGGAATCCTCTAGAACAGTGAAAACGAATGACCTATAGCTAGGCTGCAGGAACGCAGACGAATCTCAGAAACATGATGGGCGAAAAAAGCAAGCTGTGGATTAATGCAAGCAGCTCGATTTCATTTATATAAAGTTCAAAAACAAGCAACACTAAACGATACATTGTTTAGGGGTATTTACGCATATGGTAAAACTATAAAGAAAAAAAACTTAGATAGTGGTTACTCGGGTAGCAAAGAGGGATGCAGCTGGAGAGGGAAACGCTCAGAAGCAGGGGTGATGGTCTCTTAGCAGGGGTGAAGGCAGACTGTACTGTACTGTACGTAAACATTATATACATCTGGATGGATTACATAATCAAAATGTTTAGAGTTAAAAAAGGAAGAAGATCCGACTTCAAGGAGCTGACAGCCTAGTGTTCAGCAAGTCAGTGACTTTCAGAGCCCAGCCTCAGCCCTTCTCATCTATCAATAGATTATGCTGCCATCTCCGCGATACCCCTCCTTCATGAGCGAGAAAATCGATGCACGAAAAAGGCAAGTGTGTTACAGACACAGATCTGCCTGAACAGAGGTGGACAGTGGGTCCTGGACACAGGTTTGAGGACAGCAGGTATTCAATTTCTCTAGTCGGAAGTAAAATGAGAAAAATAAGAATAACGTATGAGCTTTCCATAAAACTAAAGTAAATCTAGTTAAGTACTTTATAAATATTAACTATTATTGTTATTTATTTTTAGGTTATGAACTTCCTTGTTTTTTGCTGTTAAAACATTCTTGCTTTTATAAAACCGTGGTGAGAGTAGATGGTGGTTGTTTTTCCACCGTCCTATGTGGGCAAAAATAAAAACAGACAGCGCTGTTATGGATCCTCCAGCTTTCTGTAATTTACCAATCTATGAAGTCTAAAGAACAAAGCCACCCTGGACTAAATGATCCCCTGGGTCCCTTTCAGTTCTCACTGGGTGCAGAAACACATTTCAGCATCAGATCCCTGCCAGAGCTCAATAAACCACACAGCCTCAAGCAGGGGTTTTCCCTAAAGGAGCTTGGCATCAAGCAAACTTGTTTACCTCCGCCCCAGATTCAAAACACGGGACCAACGCAGGAGGGAGTCTGTCTTCTGTAAGGTAGAAAAACCAATTGCCCTGGGCTCTTCACAAATTCTCATATGTAGTTTTCACAACAATCCTAAGAAACTAGCATTACCATCTTTGATCTTACACATAGGGGACCCCAGGCTCAGTCACCTGCTCACGCAGTGTCCTAATCTGTAAGTGACAAACTGGAGCCAGGCTCCAGGGTCCACGCTTTTCTACTGGTTTCTTGAAGTGAGAAATATGATGAAATTACACCTGGCATTGAGCCAGTTCTGGCGTCTGAGACTAACCTAACGCAAATATTAAAACACCAAAAATATATATTTTCAACTAGTCGTTCCTCAAAAAGTTAAATAGTTAGCATAGAAACAGAAATTCTACTCCTAGGTTTATAGCACAGAGA